TATTTAAGGTACAGGGCATTTAGTTTGTTAAGTGCTTTGTAGGAAATGACTGGCATGTTAATTTTCTTTCAGAAAATTTGTATCTCGATACTGATGATCCTCCAGCTACTTTACTGCCAATTTATGTCTACATGGACATGCTTCAATGTCCCTACTCAAATGTGATTTCTGATGTCTAATGGCAGAATAAGTGGGTAACACAGCCAAACTTTTGCCATTCAATAGCGATCCATGGAGCTGCCATATCCAATTTAAAAAGTTAAGGCTGCTGAAGAGGGTAATAAAAAGACAATCAAAGGGCTCAAGTTTTACCAGTGTGACTTTCCAGGCTGAAAAGAGCAGAAAATCATTGTTATAAAGCTCCAAAAACATAAGGCAACACAAATTCTGGCTTGAAAGCAAAAACTATGTAGTTACCATCCTAACCATGACAGAGCTTTTGAATGCAAGTATTGAAAGCAGTGCTGAACATATTAACGAAAATGCTAAATATACCATGTGTTAATAGAATTTTGGTTTTCATGCTTTATAATAAATGAATACAAACCATTGTTGGGTATGAGTTCCATATCCCAAGGGCTCATCTTCTCTGTATCACCATTGTCCCAACTGAAAAATACAGTCAATTGTGTAAAATGAAGACAGCTCATCACTATAAACCAGACTACACACTCTGAATTTACGGCCAGATAGTCCTTTTAAAACTAAAAAACAGGACAAAAAAGGCAAAAAAACAATGGCTTGTCAAAAGCATATGAACAGATTACACAGGGATCTTCAGCCAAAACATGTAAGGCCACCATACTGTTACAGAAGCATGGAGTACCGTTTACAGTTACAGCCATTAAAAGCACTTGATGTTCCTGTGGGACAATCTGAGAGTGTTTGAATCTTATTGATGTCATCACCAAGTATAGACTACACTTTATAAATTTGAGCTGATGTGGTCAAGATGGCCAAGTAACACAATGGGAACTATAAGCTGATATGTACTTTTCTACTTGGAAACTCACTGGACTGTGCGGACTGTCCAACCAAATTGGGGTTTTTTGCTTATGGTTGTAATGTTTTGCTATCTTGTAAGATAGTACGGAACAAATGTATTTACTTTATTTAGATATGGGAAAGAATGTACAACCTAAAAAAATTCAAAAAAGAGCATCCAATTCTAAGAATAGACTACACTAATTTGTATACATTAAAATAAATGAACACATTTACATAAACATAATATTCAAGCAAAACATGTTGACAATTGGTAATTGTGTAAAATTGCTTACCAGACATTGTAGCACTGGAATAGACTGTCTGGGTACTGCAACTGTAGTGGCTCCTGACTTTCTATAGTGCCAAACCACCAGGCATCATCAATTACTGAACGAAATCTGTCTCCTACAAATCAGAAAAAAAAATCTATTTTTCTGGTATTTCATATGAAAGCATTACGCAGCAGGGGGCAGTATCACAACAGTAATGACACTCCAAGCTCTTTTCTACAGAACAGTTATTTTCAGACTTTAGTCAAGAGGATCTCAACCCTTACTAAAAGCCAAAGGTTTTGGGTTTTTTTCATTATCTGACAAATTGTAGCGAGGTGGGCTGAAAGGAACCAAAAGCCTTCCACTAAACCAGTGTAAAGCACTGTAGTCTTCTTAAATGCATGAGGGCAGCACAATGGCTTCGTGGTAAGCACTGGGGGTCACCAGATTGAATCCCAGACAGGACACAATGTATATGAAGTTTGCTTGTGCTCCCTGTGCTTACATGGCTTTCCTCCAGGTACTCCAGTTTCCTCCCACACTTTGAAGGCAAGCTGGTAAGTTAAATTACTTCTGTCTAAATCAGACCTAGTGTGTGTATGTATGCATGTGAGATAGGGACCTTAGATTCTAAGCTTCTTGAGGGCAGGGTCTGATGTCAATGTACAGTATAAAGCACCGTGTAAATCGTCAGCAATATATAATATATAAATACCTGTACTCAAAATGTAAATAATCGTACGAATTAGCAACACAGTTATGGCCGTCTCTTGTGCAATAAAGTGTTTGTGACAGCTTTGTTTGTTTGTGACAGTCCTGTGTGGCTGTATTCCTCACCAAGGGCTACAGTTCATCTGAATTTATTGCGGACAATATGACAGATGGGCAGCCTCAGGTTTCATTCTGGCACAGTGCAACTTTAGAGCAACTGAGGGAGGAATTTAGGACTCAAGCTGTAACCTTGTAGTAAATGTGTTGCACAATTGCTCTCACTGCTCAGTTTACTATTGCCTTGATGGATTACAGAATTGATCATTTTCAAACATAGAAGTGAAAGAAATTAGTTTATAATAAATTTCATTAGAACAATTAACACATATACGTGTACAAGTATATGGGGCAGCTATATTGGTTTACTACATATGCTGGTAAGAACTAAATACTTTTTTATAGTCTCTTATAACCTGAAACCACTACGGTGCTTCTGGTAGCTCAAGATTTAGGCTGCCATAGCTTTAGTTCACAGAAATGTTTTAATCTAGGAAAAAAAAAAAAGTAGGTACTTATTTTTTCTATAGCGTTTTTGATAATATCAACAGGTTATCTATTGGTTCAAGAAAAGTGTCAATTTTAATTCTAGATCTAATTTAAGGAGTACCAAAGCCTACATGTAGCTTTGGAGACAAAAAAATAAAACAAATCAGTATATTAATTTCAGGAGTCATTCCACCAATTTCAGATGAGTTTCCCAGGCAAGGTGCATGCTACACACCTTTTTGTTATTACTGATAACATATAAACTATGCAAATCTCTCTTCAGCTTGAACTACAGAACAGAAAAACCAGGTTGTACAGGTATGTGCGAAAACAAAGGCAACCAAGTTTGTTGCAGAAGCTCAATACCTGTTTGTGGAAACATTAGGAAGGATATGCTCAAATGCTAGATACCTATTAATATGTTTCTTACTATTATTCTAGAGTAGCTTCTTGTACATACCAATGGTCCATTGCCTACGTCTGGCTTCATCAAACTGCAGTCGAAGAACTAAAAAATCGATTACATCTGGCATGTCGTGGTACCTGTGACAAGAAAGTATATGATCATAAACTCGTGCATACATACCAAACCCAAATGCTTCACCACTTTAACACAAATTGTAAAAAGCTGATCACCTTATTGCTAATAATCTTCTGAAAAACAGTACCTGAATCAATAGGCTGTGTTCCCCATAGCAGTCAACTGACTTATACCTCTACTTTATTATTGTGCATTACTACGAAAGGGAGAAAGTCTACTGATCACTGTGGACAAGGTCAACTGTTTTTGTGGCGTCTGCCACAACAGTTGGCATTGTCCAAAGCAAATCAGTACCCTCAACGTTCTGAAAACTGTCTTCTGGAGGGTGGCTACTTTTGTTGCCCATAGTCTCTTTGTACTTTTTAAAATAACATTCCAAGCTCACTCCTGTGATGGACTACAATCTCATGTTTAGTCTACTCATTTGTACTGAGATTGTAGTCAATCATGGGAGTGAGCTTGGAGCGGTGGCCACAGGTAGGTAGTGTCCGCATGAATTCAGATAGGATTTGAGGACCTACAGCTGACTGATACACAAGTTACATTTTTGTTAATTGAGTACTTGAATGCATTTTTAAAATTTAACTCCCGAGTTAAGTGTCACTTTAAGAAATGTACTCTATACCAGCAAACACATATAAGAGATACGTGTTGTCCACCATTTTCCTCAGTTTAATCGGTGCAGGTAACACAAATACAAGTGAAGTCCAGTTACAAATATATCCAGACAGCCAACTTCCCCCAACGCTCATTTCAATCTCTGAAAACCCCTAATAAAATATGTATATAGTTTTCTACTACCAACCCAATTACTACAAACCAACAAGAACTAAATTTACTCACTTCATTGTAAATGCTCCTCCAGTCAGTTTGCCAGTATCGGAGTCAAGGAAAGCAAGTTTAAGACAACAAAGAGTTGGTAAACCAACTTCATATTTTATCCCAACTATCTTCATAAGTTCTTGTTCCTTTGAGAATAGAAAGCAATTAAATGAATAGAAAATTCCAATGCTTACCTTCGGACAGCAAGAACATATGTATCCTTATTCTCTAATTTGTAAAAGCAAACCTCTCAGGAATCATATCTATAAACTAACTGCACTGCTGAAAGTGTAAGCCCTGACATTAAACCGCCCTCTTTATTCTAAGACATGTCCCAGCATTATGTTTTTATTTCACCCTGTTCATGTAATGAGAAACAGCTTTGATTATAATCAATTAAACATGGGCCAATTTGTACTGTATGTATGGAAGGGATATTTTTTTTTTTGGGCTCTGCAATACATTAAAGTGATACTAAACTCAGGAGTTAAATCTTGAAAATGCATTCAAGTAACTTAATTGTGCATCACTCAGCTGTAGATCCTCAAATCATCTCTGAATTTGTGCTCACACTGTCCTTCCTTCTGGAGGGTGGCTACTTTTGTTCCCCATGGTGTGTGTTATAAAGTGGCCACTGCTCCCAGCTTACTCTCGTGATAGACTGTAATTTCAATACAAATTAGTAAACTAAACGTGAGATTGTAGTCCATCACGGGGGAAAACCTGGTGTGGTGACTACTTTACGACACACACACAGGGACCATGGGGAACAAAAGTAGCCACCCTCCAGAAGGAAGGACATGGTCAGCATGAATTCAGAGATAGTTTGAGGATCTACAGCCGAGTGATACACAAATAAGATATATTTTTGTTAATAGTTAAGGTACTAGAATGCATTTTTAAGGTTTAACTCCTGAGTTTAGTGTCACTTTAACTGATCCTGCTGATGTGCTGCAAAAGCCTTCCTGGCGCACCTAGAGATCCCCCTCCAATCCAGGAGGTGCTAACTAAAACAGATCTCAACCTCCTTGATTTAGAACTCCCCACAGAACCCAATAAGCACACTAACACTCCATAACAAAACTCTCAAAAAGGTTTGTTGGAGGTGCGTTAAGCCAGCAAAGTCAAGTGTGGTCTATTAAAGTCAAAACTATTCCCACAGGAGGAAAAAATAAGGCATTTGAAATGTTCCCATTTCTTTTTTGCTCTTTGTAAGCTTTGAGTGCACAAAAATTGCAATAGGTAGCAAAAAAAAAAAAATGCAAAAGGATTACTGGACAGAAAATTCAGGTGCCATTTTGAAAATACTGCTCTCCACCGAGTTACCTTATCATTAGATATCCTATCATCTGTCTCCTCAAACTTTTATAAATTTCCTATGTGAATTATTTTATAAAAAATATTTTTATTCTTTGTGTATAGCAACCTAAGGTTTTTTTTAACTTTTATTTGGGTTTACTAGCATGAGGTGGCCTATAGGTTAAAACTTTTTATATGGAAAAAAAGGTGACTTCTTTAAAAACTTACCCTCAACTCCATTTTATGCCAGGGTTGTTTCTTGGCATTTATCCGATAAATTTTATTCTTTTTGGCCATTTCTACATAGGCCTCATGCCCCTGGCGAAAATAGTATACCTAGACAACGCAATATTTGTATTAGTTATACACAATAATAAAAAGTTAAAATCGATAATGTGAATTATTTTATAAAAAATATTTTTATTCTTTGTGTATAGCAACCTAAGGTTTTTTTTAACTTTTATTTGGGTTTACTAGCATGAGGTGGCCTATAGGTTAAAACTTTTTATATGGAAAAAAAGGTGACTTCTTTAAAAACTTACCCTCAACTCCATTTTATGCCAGGGTTGTTTCTTGGCATTTATCCGATAAATTTTATTCTTTTTGGCCATTTCTACATAGGCCTCATGCCCCTGGCGAAAATAGTATACCTAGACAACGCAATATTTGTATTAGTTATACACAATAATAAAAAGTTAAAATCGATATAAAAGGAAGCATAATGCAAAATCAGCAGATTATAATGTTACTATAATAAATGTCAAAAAAAGATCCAATAACATTTCTAATTGCTTAACGTTAATATAAGAGACAGCTTATAACATGCTGGCCTGAATGCCAATACGGACAGCAACAAATCCAAGCACTTACTGAACATTGTTTTTAAAAATTGAAAATTAATAGTTCAAATAGGGTCAAACATGGGGACTAGCAAATGGTAGATATGTATTCCTGCTGTTTAAAGTTTCTGGTGGGCTTGAAAACCCAAACACCAATATACAATTTGCACAGTAAAACAAGTTTGAAACAAGTGACAGAACTTCAAATTTCACCACTTGGTAGTATATCATCAAAGGTCTGTGCTCACAGAACTCTGCTTCTGAAAAACAGACCCCTGATATCTCACTTTTAAAATAGAAAAAGAGATGGAGTCCTACATTTTTTTTCTGCAGGAAGCCTCTATACTGATCCATAAACTGAGGAGATAATATCAGTTACTATGTCCACAATCATGAATGAACAGGAAGTGATGTAGTGCACTCCCTGTTAATTCATACCTAGAGACACAGTAAGCTTACTATGTCCTCAGTTATTTACAAACGCTCAGTGATCAGTAGTGATCGGTGAGTGTTTGCGCTCAGCTCTCCATCCTGACTGCTCCACCTGCCACAAGAGGCAGAGCTCTCCTCTCGCACCCCCCTGCTCTGCCTCCTGACAGCTTCTCTCCTCCCTGCAGGGTGCCGGCAGCTGGATCGGCTCTGTTTCCCCTCCCCTGCCAATACAGGCAGGGGAGAGCAGCGAGCATTGGAGGGGACACAGACCGGTGCCCAGCGGGGAGGAGAGAAGCTAGGCATGCGCCGCATTTTCGCCAGATCTTGTACTATCGGCATTTTGCCCATAGTATCATTTTCAGCTGAAATGTTACGCCAGCCAAAATTTCGGGGCATCTCTAATAAATATATATAAAAATATATAACATTTGCTGAATATTTGTTCTGTGATCAGTGACTAAAAATATTATAGCCAGCAGGACAGCCCAGCATAATAATAATAATAATAATAATAAGGATAGCAACGGCAAACTAAGTTTCCTTTAAGTATGTCACCATTTTTTATAACTCGTAGAAATTAGGATTAAGTGTATCTATACATGATGCACAAAAGAGTAAAGTAGTACAAACCTGTAAGTCCCTTAGGGGTTAAAACTAGGGATATCCTGATACCACTTTTTCAAGATAAAATACAAGTACTTCCTGTCATGTACTTGCCGATACCAATTACCGATACTTTTTCTTAAAGGGACAGGTGACATTTTAAAAAAAACAATAGACTAATGATTTTAGGCCAATTTCTTTATGATTATGAAGAACTTTATTGAAGACTGTTTTAGAACAATAAAACATTTTTATTTGCTTTCACACAGCTACAGTGAAACTACATATCCGATCATGCATCTGCCTCTGGGATCATTTAAACTATTCATGTTTTCAACCACGATCGTGTGGGAACGCCCGGGCTGTATTGCAGCGGGAAACCATGCGATCTGCCTGGCGCGAATAGAGTGCCATTACCGTGATCGGCGGTGGTGTACGATTCCGTGACCGCCCAGCCATCCGCTCGATTCCGTGCACGATGACCGGGTAGTCCCGATACCGATGCTAGTATCGGGACAATCCCTAAGTAAACCAACTGGACTGGTGTCTAAAAGTTTTGACCCACTGACGCTGAAAAATTATGCAGCTCGGCAATTAGCATTTACAAGGAGAGGTGTCAGCAATAGTAGCCTCCATGCTTCTTTCATGACGGGTTTTCTTTAAAGCTGAACTCTGGGCAGACAATGCAGTTATGTGATGTAGAACAGGTAATTAAATGTATGTTTTTAAATGCTTTAAAGAGGAAAACAAAGAGTACCTCATCACCCATCTGTGGAACAAAAGGACATCTCCTTGGAACGGTGTCAGTAATCCACGCAGAAGGCAGCCACTCATCAAGGTTTAAGCCTTGCTCAGTAAGGGCTGCAACTGCTAAACGCTGTAGGCAGAAATTTAAAATCATTTAACTTATGTTTGAAAAGAAGCAAATTAAAAACAATAAATCAAATAAACACAGTAGCTGTGATAAAGCTACTTCAAACTAAACTGGGAAGTACAGCAATGGCTCATCAAAGTAACTACTGTATATTTAAGCACTACCAGGCTATCATGCATTGCCAAATAAAGTAAAGAAAAATGGCTTGGTATAAATCATTGTCAGCAAAACTACAAACTGGTGCATTTTTTATGAGTACACAGAAACATGAATCGAATCATTGCCTTTTGTGAGTTTTTGAGGCATCAAAAACAGTACAGTAAGTCAGCAAGTACATAGGTGGAGGGAGAAAAAGATCATATTCCTAAAGTGGATGTAAACGTCTGGGTTGGCAATTGCACCTGCAAACAGACCGTAGGCCTCAATGGACTGCAGGACCTGAATATTTCTCCCAATAAATGTGTAACATATTGTGAAGAAATATCACTGTATTGAATAGCCGGTACCAGGAGTAGGGCTGGGTGTTCTAAGGCTACTACTAAAAAAGCATGTTGCCTTAGCACAGGTAATACAGGCATAGGTTATACAAGCAAGGCAGCATTGGCCTTGTCAGCTCACACTATACATGGTCACTGTGACAGACCAAGGCAGTGCTTTATACAACTGGAGCAGAAAGACTACCTCACCTTTTGCTTCCTCTCTTTTGGCTTCTTTTTCTTTGGTGATGCAGATGGTCCGTCCTTTTCCTCAGTTCCCTTCTTTCTTTCCTTTTTATTCTGCTTCTGTTTAAACTTTTCAGCCCCTTCTTCATCTTCAGAGCTGCTCTCTACTTTTTTGTTTTTAACTTTAGGGGTCTTCTTTGGTGGTTGTAGATTGATTCCAGCATCTGCAGTCCAGTCTGAATAATCACTAGAGTAGTCACTAAGAATGAGAATTAAAATATTTCAAATGTGTGGAAAGGACAAAATTACACAAACTGATCATGCTGCAATGGAAACCTGTCCCAAAATTTTTTTCAAATTACTGAATTCTTAAAGAAAAATATTTTTAATTTTACCTCCCCACTTCAAAAAGTTAATAAAGTTGGTTATAAAAAAAAAAAAAGTTTAAAAAAAAATAACCATTAAAAAATAGTCACATAAAAAGGGGGGGAAACGAAAGAAGGAAGAAGAACACAAAAAAAAATGTGTCGGGTGTGCCTACGTGCGAAAATGACAAAAATGACAATTGCACTCATTGTGCCGCACATGTTACATATCACCACGAACGTCGTAGCGCGAGCAATAATTTTAGGGCCATCGATCACTGATAACACTAAACTGATAAGAGGTAAAAGTGTCGCCTATGGCGAATTTTGGGTATGGGAGTTTTTCGCGGACGTGCACAATTTAAAGGCTTGACATGTTTGGTGTCCCTTTACCTGACGTGACCCCATCTTTTATATTTTCCCCTAAAATGTGGGTAATAATAAATGTTTCATAATATAACGCAGGGAAAAGTTTTTCAACATTTTCGGTACTTTTTTGTATAGTAAAAAATAAAACCCCCGGGGTGAATAAATACCACCAAAAGAAAGCTCTATCTGTCCCCCAAAAATAGTATAAAATTAATTTCAGTACAGCGCTGCATGACGGAATAAATGTCAAAGTACCGCAGCGCTGCATACTGAAAAATGGCCTGGGCAGGAAGGGAGGTTTTACACCCGGTCTTCAAGTAGTTGAATTGGAACACTTTTTTTTAAAAACTGGATTTTTCACCCACAGTAAAATACTTTTCTTAAAGTCTATTTAGGGACACAGAATTTAAATAAAGTTGGGTTATATTGACACATACAGGAGGATTGGACACTGGCCAAAACAAATAAAATTGTAGGCCAGCCCCCCATATAACCTCTCTGCTACCCAGCATGCTTCAGTTTTGTGGTAAATTAGTACCAAGAGTATGAACAGAAACAAAGAGGAGTGGGACCCGAGTCCTTCAATGGACTCTAAGAACATTTTTTTTACAGTGAATACAAAAATCCTATTTTCTTTCCGGTCCACTGAGAGACGAAGGAATTCAGATACAGTCAGGACATCCAGTCCGGCTATGAAGCAGACAACATAGCAAACAGCCAACAGGCCCAAAGTGAACAAAAACTGGGGATTGCATGTGGCTCAAAAGATGCCTAAGGGATTAACATCCAAACTTGGCACAATATGAGGCTGAACCACTCACATGGCAGAAAGAACAAAACCAGGTAGTACACATGGCACGTGAACTAATTCTGTCCCAAGTGCCCTGGGACAAGCCCCAACGGCAAACCTGTAGGAAAATACCGTGCCTAATCTGAAGAAGCTTTGCAGAGTCAAAGATCTATAGACATTCTTGACACATTCAAGGAAGCATTTTCATGAGCATTTAAAAAAAAAAAAGCCTGAACTCTGTTGAATAAATCCACCAGGGTCATTAGGGCATTTCCCTGTTGCTGTCAGAGGGTAATTGAAGATTAACGCTAGACTGTTCATCATGCAGACAGCCCAGGGTATCACAACGCTCCCCAACTGCAGTGCAGGATCCAGAATGCACTTTAGTGCATGCAGCACTCCACCATCTTCAGAAGCAACCAGTTGGCCCCGAAAATATCATATTTAAAGTGTATTTCCACTCTTGCAGTCAAATTTGAGAAAAATCCACTATTTTTATTTGCTCCCATTCACGCATGACTACAAAAAATTTTTTTTTATATATATA